GGAGGGGGGAACCACATGTCAAGACAGGGCGAGGCAGAAGAGGCCAGGCGAGACAGAATTGGGCTTGGCATGGGAGGTCGGGGCCACAGTGACGGGAGCACGGGTGATCCAGACGTGATGCTCTGCTGCCGGATCCTCCTCCATCGAGGGCGACGGCGGCAGCGACAACGACGACAACGACGACGACGACGACGGGGGAACAATAAGGCGCAAGCTCACACATGTATACATATGTGCATACATATACACATCTATATATCTATATATTTATATATATATATATATAGAGAGAGAGATGTATGCTACGAGCACAGGAGGGGCAGAGGGAGAAGGAGAGAGAGGAGGGGACGACGGGGAAGCCGGGAAGCCGAGGATACCGAGGAAGACGGCGGGGAGGGAGGCGACGCGGAGAAACAGGAACGGTAGGCTGAGGCGACTGGGGCAGCAATACCATCACCGGGCGAGGACACGGACGCGAGGGAGGGGAGGGGGGGAGGAAGACTAATAACAGGAAGGCGGGGAGGATTTAGGAGAAGGACAGGAAAGAGCACGAAAACAGGAGAACCTGCCCCGTGACACACCTCAGCGTACCACATGTAGCAGGTCCATTGAACAACTGGACTGGTTCAGGGGCAACGGGGAGCCAGTATGCGCATATTTTTGTACATGCGTATCCAACTGCTGTTCGCATGAACGAAGGCACCACAACGGGAAGAATAATGGGAAGGCAAGAAAACGAAATGAGGAATCGGAGCAGGGAGGAGGCGCGAGGATCAGAAGGGCGAAGAGGTCACGGTAGCCTCAAGATCTCGATCCCCCCCCATCCCCTCTTATCACCCCTCGCAATCCCTCCCCTCGCTTCTCCCCCTGGCAAGTCCCCCCCTCCCCAGGCTCCCTCCCCCTTCCCCAGACTCACTCCCTCTCATCGCCGCATCCCTTCTTTCCATCCCTCCCTCCCGCCCCCTTCGTCCCCCCCCGCAGCCCGACACATGCCAAGGAAAGCTGTCGCGCACCAAGATCGTCGGGGTTTCATGTCCGAGCCATGAGAACAGGTACACTGAGGTGTGTCTCGTTTTCCGCCTCCTTATCATGATCCTCCCCCTCCTCCTCCCCCACCCCTCTCTGCATGCATCCCTCCCTCTCTTGTCTCTCTTCCCTCCTAATTCCCTCCCTTTCTTCATGCCTTCCCTCCGCCCTCCTCGTCCTCCTTAGCATTATCCCTCCTTGTGTTCTCACCCCTCCTTCTCCACCCTCCTCCACGCTCTGATGGTCCTGGTCGTCGCCCTCCTCACTTCACCTCAACCTCTCCCGTTATCCCTCCTCATCCTGCTCTCTCCCGTCTTCTTCTCCCCCTCCTCCTCGAATTCCTCTCACATCCTCGTTTGCTCTCATCTTCCTCACTCCGCTCCTCTCCCTCATCTCATTCTGCAGGCCCATGCTCGTGCCCATGCTCAGGCAGCAGGAGAGGGATGAGGAGGATGAGGAGGAGGAGGAGGAGGAGGAGAAGTGAGGAGAAGGAGGAGGAGAAGTGAGGCGGAGGAGGAGGAGGAGGAGGAGGAGGAGGACGAGGAAGAGGAGGAGGAGGGGGAGGAGGGGAGGACGAGGAGGAGGAGGAGGAGGAGGAGGAAGAGGAGGTGGAGGAGGAGGAGGAGGAGGAGAAGGAGGAGGAGGAGGAGGAGGAGTCCCACGTACTCAAGGAGGAGGAGGAGAGGAGGAGGAGGAGGAGGAGGAGGAGGAGGACGGAGGGAGGGAGGGAGGGAGGGAGGGAAAGGAGGAGGGAGGGAGGGAAAGGAGGAGCAGGAGCAGGGACGAGAGAGGGGTGGAGGAGGAGGAGGCAGAGGAGCCGCCCGCTGCCGGCCACGCCACCGCGACGAGGCGCCCGGGCGGCGCCCTCCCGGGCGTGCGCGGGGCCGCGGCCGGCGCCGCGCAGCGCGTGGTCCGCCCGCGCCTGGGCCCTCGCAGCCTGCCGCACCGCGGGGTCTCTGGGGGGCGAGGGGCGCGGGCGGCGCCACTCCGAGGGCCCGCGCCACGGCTCTCGGCGGGGGGCGAGCGAGGACCGAGACTCTTGAGATCTCTGGGCCCGTCCTCCTCCTCTTCCTCCTCCTCCTCTTCCTCCTCCTCCTCCTCCTCTTGTCGCCCTTTTGGAAAGGGCCCTGGGACACACAAACAGATACACACGAATCAACCCATTCACCACATTTTACTATATCTTCCGGGTTCTTGCTTTCCCCCCCACTTCCCATGTTTCCGTATACTTTCTGGGGAATCGACGATTCATTGTGTCTGTGTGTGTGTGTGTCTTTCCCCTCCTGACTTTTGGGGGGGGGGCTCTCGCACGAGGCCGCGGCGACGAGCCCATCGCCACGGCCGGACCCACCTGGAGGCTGCGGCCGGGAAAGCGCCCAAGGAACAGACAGGTTGGGCAGGGATCGGGAGGCATCCGCCGACTGGGGGCACGATCTCCCAAGGCCTTTGGTGGGCAGTACACGTTGGCCGGAAGAAGCAGATCAGCACATGACAAAGTAGAGTTTGTGCTCAGGGGGTCCCGAGATTTTGTGCTCAGCCTGTTGGCGCATGCTGGGGCCGTGCCCCCCCCTGCAGTGGCAATCCCAGCGGGGCCGCAAGAAGGCGGATCGGGCACACTTCGGCGGTGGACAAACCTCCCTTTATCAAACCTCCCCTTAGCGAAAACGGCCGAGGACCGAAACCGACAGACCTGGACCTGCAAAAATGACCGCCGCGGCGCTCTCTCGCGAACCGAAAACGGCCAATTCCTCGATCGACGTGTCAGGGTAGGAGGTCTATCCACCTCCGAACATTGGTCCCCGGCGCCGCAGGCCGTAGGCCCCACGGAGACACCCCGACCGGTGGCAATGCCAAGGTGCAGAGCCCGCGCGTTCCACTGCTCGCAAAAGAACTACTCGCAAATGGCCCGGATCCGCTCCGGGAATTCACGATACATTACATCGAGGCAACCGCATGTTTTTGTTTTCTCACGTTTGCGCGTAGGCTCCTTGCGAGTAGTGCAACGCGATCGGTGACCCAACGAACAATAGGGGCCCTCATATAAAGAGCATGGGTCGTACTTAATACGAGTGTCACCTATACCGTTTGTTGGAGCCCTTGGCCTCGGTTCCGCGCGACGGATGACGAGCTGTTCGACCCTTCCAGGCTGTCTCTGGCAACCGCGGTGGCAAGACAGAGACGTGGGCGGCAAAACTTTGAGATGTGGCGCAGGATGACTGACAGTCGTGAGACAGTGGCAACGGCGGCAAATACAATGGCCATACTTGAAGGGGCCCTGGGACACACAAATAAATACACACAAATAAACATATTCCCATATTTTCGTATATTTTCTGGGTTTTTGTCTTCCCCACCACTTCCCAGATTTTCCCATATTTTCCTGGGGATCGACGATTAATTGTGTCTGTGTGTTTTTTCCCCTCCTGATGACTGACAGTCGTGAGGCAGTGGCAGCGGCGGCAAATACAATGACCATACTCAACGAGGGCCTGCACGTCCGCGAGGTGCGACTCCGAGGCGGGCCAGACAACAAGTCACGAACAGTGTTGTTGCGCGGACAACCCCGCCACCGCCAGCAAGGCCACCTGCCTCTTCCGAACGGCAAGGCGCCGCGAAGTTTTCGAGAGGAAGCCCACCGCCCACCAACGTGTGCAACGCCTTTGGTGTGACGAACGGGCGACACGCACCCATACCCATAGGGGGGTCGTTGGGAGGAGGACTGGCTATAAGTATGGGTGCGGGTTGTCGGACCCTGGGGAACGCTCCCGTTCGAGCGGGGACCCCCATCCGACAACACGCACCCACAGCCCTCTCCGATCCCCCTATGGGTATGGGTGTGTGTTGCTGGCTCGTCATTTGGTGTCCGACGAGGCACCATCAGGCGGACCCCGCGTCAGCGGCCCCTGGGGAAACGCCGGAGGCGCGCACCTCATGTACACCGCGAAAGGCACACCGCGACGCAGCGTCGCGCTCCACAGGGAACCTCTGCGTGGCACGCGCCTGTGCAGGAGGCTTCGTGCTTCGCCGCCGGGCAGCCTCGGAGCTGGCAACCAGAGTGTCTGTGGTGTGGGGGGGGGCCGTCGCGCAGAGGGTGCCCTTGGGCGCCGCCGCGCAGGCCCTGCCCAAGCGGCCGCCAGGGAACGGCAGTGGCACGCTGCCCGGTGCCTGGCGAGGTGGCGGGAGCTGGCGGGGGCTCGCCCCCCGCCGGCCACTGCAGCCCGGGCCTGCGAGAGAAGGCGGCTAGGGAGTGCGATTTGACGGTGCCACTGGGCGACCACGCGGGCTGCTCTCGCACCCAGCCCAAGACGATGGCAGGTTCGGAGAGCCCTTCTGAGGAGGCGCCTCGCCTTCTCAGAAGACCCCCCCCTCTCGCGAACACAAACCCTCGTGCGCGCGCCGCCAATCCCCCCCCTGGCGCGCGACGCAAGCGCGCCGCTGCTCTGGCTTGCGCCGGGTGACGTCCAAGGCCTCCTGGGCCCAACGACGATTCCGGCCCCTCGACGTCGTGATTCTTTCACGACGCCGACACCCATAGGTCTGGACCCCTTCCCTCAGAAGGGCTCCTCATCCAGAGTCATACCTTGACGGCCCCGAGGTCCGGGAAGGCCCCCCGAGGTCGAAGACAGCGAGACGCCTCCCGTCGCGATCTCACCATGGCTCGAGGGGCATCTGGGGCTCTAGCCTGCGGCAGGTGCCGTCCAACGCCTCCTGGGCCCAGCGACTGGTGCTGCCGTCGCCGAGGCACGGGAGGACTCGCTGCCGCCGGGCTGCCGCTCTGCCTCCAGGGGCGGGGTACCTCGCGGGCCGCCCGCGCCTCCCCGCATGCCGACGGCCCGGGAGCTGCCGCATGCCGCGCCGCAGCAGCGCGAGCTCCCGCCATGCTCGGCACGCGGGGCCTCTCGTGCGATGCCGCGCGCGGCATCTCCGCAGACCGAGCGAAGAACGGCCGTGGTAGAGGAGGAGGAGGAGGAGGAGGAGGAGGAGGAGGAGGAGGAGGAGAGGGAGGAGGAGGTGGAGGAGGTCTGGGACCTGGAGCCCACGGCGTGCGAACGCGCGCGAAGCTGGGCAGCCGATGGCGAGGGGCAGGAGCCGCGCTGGGAGCGGCGACGGGAGAGGCGGGAGTCAGGACCAGGGGGGCGGCGTCAGCGGCTGCACTCTCGCTTCTGGCGCGCCCGCGCCGGGGTCCGCGGCCACGCGGACCCTCCCAGTCCCGAGGCGCTCGGCCGCTGGCGGGCACCGCACGCCGCTGGTGCACGCGGACTAACGGCCTGCAAGCGACGCGCAGGTCGGGCCGCGATCCGCGCCCCTGCTACCTCACCACGGCACCCGACGAGCTCGAGGCGAGCGAGTCCCCCTTGAGCACCACCAGCTCCTTCTCCGCGCCCTCGCCCTTGACGGCGACGTGCACGTCGTGCAGGGGCTCCAGGGTCGCCACGTCGTGCGAGATCGAGACGATCGTGACCCCGTCGAGCTGCCTCGTCGCCGTCTCGTACAGCTCGAGGGCCGCCTGCTTGCTCACGTTGCTGGTCGCCTCGTCCAGAAAGAGCACCCTGGGCTTCCGCAGCAGCGCGTGCCCGAATGCGAGCCGCTGCTGCTGCCCTGGGGACAGTCGGGAGCTCCACTCGTCCACCTGCCGCAGCGCGCGCAACCCGACCTTCTCGGGCCCCGTGCCGGCGTGCTCCTGCTCGAGGCCGTCCCGCGGCGGCGCGACTTTCGCGTCGCCCGGCGCCGTGCTTTCGTCGGACAGCGGCGCGTCCGCCGCCAGCTCCTCCAGCCGGACGTCGCACAGGGCCTTCGAAGAAGAAACACTGAACTGACATAAACTCTTGGCGCTCCGCGTGGATTTCACGGATCTGCGCTGGACCCCCTCCCTGGCGCGCGGAGCGCGCCAGGGGCGGCGCCCGAGGCGCTGCCGGGGGGGGGCCCAGCGCGGACCCAAGGAATCCGCACGGAGCGCCGACAGTGTATGTTTATGCTGGTTTTCCTGGTCCGAGGCCTGTAGCAGGGCCTCCTCCCTGTACGTGCCCGCGGCCTCCGGGTAGGCGAGGGCCTCCGCCAGGGTGCAGCGCTTGGGCAGCGCGGGCCGCTGCGGGACGAAGAGCACCTCGGACGAGCGCGCGGGGAGGTGCACGCGGCTGCCCGCGGTGTGCGGCCAGATGCCGGCCAGGGCCTTGAAGAGGACGCTCTTGCCGGTGCCCTCTGGGCCCGAGATGAGCAGCCGCTGCCCCGCCTTCAGCGGCGGCGCGCAGCAAGGCTTAAGTCGGGCATGCCCTCCTACAGACGGCTGTGGACGAATACTCCGTAATATTCAAGGCAGATTGTAAAGCTGATGTTTTTTGGTTGAAAAAGTAAAGAAACATTGATATCTTTTTGTTTCAAGAGTAAACGAATCGTCCCCATTTTCGAAAACTGTGTTTGAAGATTCCTCCTGTAGAGGGACATGCCCGGCTTCAAGCAAGGCGGGCGAGGCGGTGGCCCTCTGTGGAGGTAACGCGGCGTCTCAGAAGCCCTCCTGCCCTCCGCGAAGCTTTCTTGGAAGGCCTCCTGTGGAGCATCCGGCCTTCTTAGACGAACGCCCTCCTCCCCCCCGAAAACCAAGAATCCCCGCGAAACTGGTCCTGGAACCCCTCCTGGGCTACTTCCCGGCAAAAGATGCGAGCCGCGCCGAGCCCTGGCGGCGAGAACCCCCCGAAACGAACGACACGACGACAACGTCGACGTCCTCGCGATGCTCGCCTTCACAGCGATGCTTACGTCGCGCCAGAGCGTCTCCCCGCTCGGCAAGTCCACCCGCGCGATGTCGGCACGCAGCCAGCCGGGCTCGCTGGCCTGCTCCAGAGCTGGGCGCTCCGGCCCGTCGCGCTCTAGCCCCACACTGGCCCTGGCAGGCTTCCCGCGTGCGGACTGCGCGTGCACGTCCAGAATGGCCCTCTCATCGTCGTCGTCGTCGTCGTCGTCGTCGTCGTCGTCGTCGTCGTCGCCGTTGTCGTCGTCGCCGTCGTCGCCAACGTCGTCGTCGTCGTCTTCGTCGTCGTCACCGCTGGTGTCGTCGGCGTCGTCCACATCGTCGTCGTCGTCGTCGTTCGTCGTCGTCGGCGTAGTCGTCGCTGGCGTCGTCACCGTCGATCGTCCTCGTCCTCGTCGACGTCGCCAGCTCCGTCGTCGTCGTCGCCATAGTCGTCGTCTGCAGCATCGTCGTCGTCGTCGTCGCAAGCGTCGTTCTCGTTGTCGCTGGCGCTGGCGACGACACCAGCGTCGTGGTCGTCCCACTCGTCGTCATGGACGGCGTCGTCGTCGTCATCGCCAGCGTCGTCGTCGTCGCTGGCGCCAACGCTTGCGTCGTCAACGGCGTCCTCGTCGTCGTCTCCAGTATCGTCGTCGTCGTCACCAACATGGTCGTTGACGTAGTCCTCGTCGTCAACGTCGTCGCCGTCGATGCCGGTGTCGTCGTCGCTGGCGTCGCCGTTGTCGCCGCTGTCGCTGGCGCCAGCGTCGTCGTCGTCGTCGCCAGCATCGTAGTTGACGCAGTCCTGTTCGTCGACGTCGTCGTCGCCGGCGTCATCGCTTGCGTCGTCGTCGTCGTTTCCGTCGGCGTCGTCGTCCTCGTTGTCGTCTCAGTCGTGATCGTCGTCGTCGCCAGCGTCGTCGTCGTCGCCGCCAGCGCCGCCGGCGTCGTCCGGCCCGTCGCGCTTTAGCCCCACACTGGCCCTGGCAGGCTTCCCGCGTGCGGACTGCGCGTGCACGTCCACAATGGCCCTCTCGTCGTCGTCGTCGTCGTCGCCGGCGTCGTCGTCGTTGTCGTCGACCTAATCGTCGTCGCTCGCGTTGCCCTCGTCAGCGTCGCCGTTGTCGCCGATGTCGCTGGCGTCAGCGTCGTCGTCCTCGTCGTCGTCGTTGCCGCCGTCGTCGTCGTCGTCGTCGCCGCCGTCGTCGTTGTCGTCGTCGCAAGCTGGGTCGTCGTCGTCGTTGTCGTCGCTGACGTTGTCGGCATCGCCAGTCGTCGTCGCCGTTGCCGCCAGCGCCGTCATCCTCGTCCTCGTCCATGTCCTCGTCCTCGTCCGCGTCGTCGTCGTCGTCATCGCCGTCGTCGTCGTCGCCCTCCTCGTCCTTGTCATTGTCCTCGTCATCGTCCTCGTGCTCGTCGTCATCGTCCTCGTCCTCGTCGTCGTCGTCGCCGTCGCCGTCGCCGTCGTCGTCGTTGTCGTCGTTGGCGCCAGCGCTGTTATTGTCGTCGGGGTCGTTGTCGTCGCTGGCGCCGGGGTCGTCGTTGTTGTCGCCGTCGTCGTCGTCGTCGTCGTCGTCCTCGACCTCATCCTCTTCGTCGTCGTCGCCGTCCTCGTCCTCGTCCTTGTGGTCGTCGTCGACGCTGGCATCGTCGTCGATGTCGTCGTCATCGTCGCCGTCAGCGTCGTCCTCGTCCTCGTCGTCGTCGCCAGCCGTGCCGTCGTCGCCCTCGGTCTCGTCGTCGTCACCGCCTCTCGAAGGACAGCAGACGGTCCGCGGTGGCCCGCCAGTCGGAGAGAGGCCCGTAGATGCGCATGAACCTTGGCAGCACGCGCCACTCCTCCTCCTCCTCCTCCTCCTCCTTCTCCTCCTCCTCCCCCTCCTCCTCCTCCTCCTCATCCTCCTCATCCTCATCCTCCTCCTTCCTCTCGTCCTCCTCCTCCTCCCCCTCCGCCTCCTCCTCCTCCTCTTCCTTCTCCTCCCAGGGCGTGTTATGTGTTAGGAAACCATGGGAAACGACCTGGAAACCTACACCGCGCAGCAGCGCTCAGCGCCGCTCAGTGAAGGGCGAGGTGGTGAGCGGTGCTGAGTGGCAGTGCTGCCGTGGCGAAACGTGGGTGATAAGTTCTAAGAGGGTCCTCCAGATCGGACGCGTCAGGGTTGGGCAAAGCTTGATGGGGGGAGACACATCGGGCGGGGAGAAAGGTGCCCTTCTCGGGTCCTAAAGCTCCCCTTTCGGGGCCTGGAAGGGCCCCTCTAGGGGCCCCCCAAGGGCACCTTTTCTGCAACCCTCGCTGCCCCCCCCATCTGTTCGCCCCCCCGTTACGCGTAGCCCAAAAGGGGTGGAGCGAAGCGGGGCCGGCCATCTTGGCAGGCAGGGGTCTCTCGGGAGTGCTGGGAGATCTCTGAAAAGAGGCCTCCCAGAAGGCCGGAGGGCCGCTGAGAAGCCACCATTTAGATGGCCGCCATCCTTGCCCCACCCCCTTCTGCGCCGTCGCCGCGAACCAGTCGAAGGAGTTGGCGACGCTGCCGATCGCTCCGGTCAGCTGGAACAGGTCCCCCAACGATATCTCCTTCTTGAAGTAGCTCGGCGCGAGTATGAAGAAGGGGACCAGGAACTGGACGTAGTCGTACGCACTGGTGAAGAAGGCGAGGCGCTTCTCCAATATCATTTGTCTCCACTGCACCAGCTTGATGCGGTCAAACTGCCGCTGCAGGCCGCTCCTCTCGGTGGCTTCCGAATTGTAAAGCGCAACGCTCTGGGAATTGTCCCGGATGTGTATGGCGAGGTTTCGGAAGTCAGCCTCGTAGCGCTGCCGAGCGAAGCTATAGGTGATCATAGGCCATCCGATCAAGTGCGTGCACATCCCGCCAATGAAGGAGTATGCAACAGCCATGGCTAGCAGCCAGCCAGGGAAGTGGACGCCAGGGACCCCGAAGGCCGACTCTGGCTCGTTGTTCAGGACAACGGGCACGAAGACGAAAAGGCTGCCCGCTGAGTTCAAGAAATTGGGACAAATGTCCAGGGCCGAACTTACGAAGAGGTTTACGTCCTCTTGCAGCCGCTGGTCCGGATTGTCCACGCGTTGCACATGCTGGCGGGACTGTGGGCCGACCTGCATGAGAAAGTGCGTGTGGCCAACGAGCCACCTCTGCGCCAAGCGCTGGGTCATGTGCTCTCGCCAATCAATGTAGAGCCACGACCGCACGTATGCCACGTACACCCTCGTAAGCACAACGGCCACGACGA